GACCTCAACCAAATGGCGACTGCTGGCGGCTATGTCTGCCACAGAGCCACTGCAAAAGCCTTAACTTCATCAAGTGCAAATATGCAAATCTCTGGCTCTGTCTCTGGTTCTGGTTCTGGCTCTGGCTCTGTGCCTCTGTCTCTGTGTCTCAGTCTCTGGCTCTGTCTCCGGCTTTGTCCCCATCTTCAGCTCTCTCGACTGGGTACTCTTGGCTCAAGGATAAATGACAAAGACAAACCTCTTTTGGGGCAGCCGGAAATTTCAGATTTGTGTAATTAAATACATATTAGCCAGCATAACTTGTTGATCTTCTAGTTAACTCATTTTGAGCATTTCTTTGGGGCAAAAACTACTGCAGCAGCACCACAAAGGAATATTTGCAGGAAAGTTATGAAAGACAATTACCATGGAAGGTTTTTGCATAAACTTTGAGGGCAAATAAGGGTAAAATAAAGTGTTGATATGAATTAAAGATTAAATCTTTTATTTATGACTGTTACTTCCGCAAAACTGCAAGAATTTATCTACCTATTTATTCAGCTATCTATCTATCTATCTATCTATCTATCTATCTATCTATCTATCTATCCTTCCATCCATTTATCTGAATATTTTTCTATCTATCCATCTAATTTAATAATATATATATAATAATAAAGCTATAATGCCTCTCCATTTTTTCTTAGTAAACAAAAAACTTGTCCCTTTTCTTGTCAAATTATTTAAAATCTTTCGCTCTTAAAATCTACAGAATATTTAAATTTTACAGGCTCTTTCCCTTAAAACCAAATGGGTCTTGCGCCATTCCCCAAAAATCGTTTTCCAATCGTTTTTCTCGCCATTTTCCTGCTGTGCTGCCTTTCCCATAACTTGTGAATCAAATTTCATGTTGATTGACCTCTCCAGAATTGCATATCCTCCCTCTGGTGCACTCCTCCTGCTCAGCCTCTGCCTCTGCCCCATTCTCTTGCTCTGGGCCCCTTTCTCCTGGCTCTGTGGCTGCACCACTGCTCTCCAGTTATCCTACCGCTTCACACATAGCATTTCCAATGCAATTTGCAAACCTTTTTCTCACCAAAGCACAGATTTGCTTCAAGCTAGGAGGCAGCACGAAAAAGGAGAAAAAAAACTTTACCAAAAAAATCCAGTAACGCCTTCTCAAAAAAAAAAAAAAGGCAAAGAGAAATAACGATTTTGCAGGCATTGCATTGCTTTGGATTGCATGCAAAAATGTTGCAACAACAACAGCAACAACGGCAACAACAACAACAGTAATAGTAACAACAGTAACGGCTTTAAACGCCAACTGCAACGCCAAGGCATAACTGCAACATTTCGGATGCAAGTTTGCATTTTACGCGGCTGCCAGGCTTAATTTTCCTTTATTTTTAATATCACAAACCAAAAGGCAGCAAAATGTACATAAAACCCACGGCTATAGGCACACAGCTACACATCCCACCAAACACACACAGATACACACACACACAGATGGATACATGGATACATTTGAAACGGGGCTGTCAAGCGGAGCTCCCAGGAAGCAAACAAAAATAACAACAACAAGAAAAAAATCTTTGCGTAGGCAAAACTTGGCTCGGACCATGTCCGAACTCCTCGCCTTTTCAGCCTTCTCAGCCTGTTCAGCCTCTTCAGACTTGTTGCTGTTGCAAGAAGACTTGGCTTACCCCTGTTCTTGCCTGGGTTCTGTGCGCGACTGTTGTTTTAAATAATTAATTATTGTTTAGTTGGCAAATAGCCTGGTCAAGATCGAACGGCCCCACAACAAGAAGAAGCCACACAACGAAGGCCCAAGTGCAATCCGAAAGAAAATAAATTCAAACCAAAAGGAGAGGCTTTGATTGGGATTGCCAAAAGATGTCGAATCTTCTGGGGATATTTACACTATTCCTACATATAACTGATCTTAATGGTGGTTATCCCCTTTGGGCAAAGATTTTCTTAATATTTTGTCAATTTTCTTTTCTTTCTTAATAATTTTTTATTTTATTTGATCTTTTGTGTCTTAACTCAGGAAGGATGCAGGAAGAAGGCATTAATTAATCCCATGGAGTGTGTTCCTTCCCCAAAAATATTCATCTCGAAAAAGCCTCAAAGCATTTGACAAAAATAACCAAAATTCATAGAAAAAAACCTGCGTACTAAGAAATTCCCAAGAAATAAAACAGTACACCTCCTAATAATAATCTAAAGGCCCAAAGGTCATCGCAGACACATAGATAGATATATCTTTAAGTACCCAGCCAACATCAGACAAAGTTTCAATCACATTTTGGCCCCAAACTGTGTGCCGTATTCGGCACATCGATAGAAACGGCTCTGCGCCCCCCCATTCATTATGTGGCCTGCAGCTGGGAACGGGATAGCAGCTCATTGGGTGATGCCCTGGAAATCGGTAGGGCAATCATGTGATTGAACAAATAACATGCTACGGACCAGCACTTGACTCCATTTGAAAGGATTGGAACGGAACCGAACGGAAAGTAAGCCAAAGCGATAGAGACAGAGAGAAGCCCGCTACTTAGCCCAATTTTCGCATAATGCACATGAGTTTCAGATTCGAGAGAGAGAGACTCGAAAATTGCACCAGAGTTTGAGGCTTGAGGCACAGCCAAAAACAAAAAGAACGAGCCGAGACAAAAGGCGAAATCTGAACCTATAAACTAGACAAAAAAAAAAAAGTGTGTGCCACCCCACCACCCCCTGGAGATAGAAATAAAAAAAAAAAAACTGCAGCATGCTGCACCACTTGGGGATCCAGTTAGCAGCGGAAAAACGTTCCCCAGAGTGGCATTAGCAGCAGATTTTTGCCTCAATTTGATTGTCCAACCCCCTTCTCGCAGCATATTAGAGGGCGATAATTTGTATGACCCCGAAAGAGATTCTCAAGCAGCCAAGGATTGACCCACCACCAGCAGTCCAAAAAATAAGAGTCACACACCCTGCACCCTGCCGGAAAAAATGGTGTGGCAGGAGAGAGCCTGTCGTGTGCCGAGAGAAGATAATTTTATACAATTTATTATATCAAACGAGCGTCGTCGTCGTCAGCGTCATCGTCGCGTGCAACACTTGCCACATCACACGAGAAGAGCTGCCACAGAGATACATCTGAAGCTGTTGCGTGCTAAATGTTTTCACGTGGCGCAGCGCACATGAAAATGAATCTGAAGCCAAAGCCCAATCCGAGTCCCAATCCCAATCCGAATTGCGTGTGTCCAAAACTTTAGATATCACTGGGCGATGGTTGGGCTGGCATTAAAAAGCGTTTAATAAGCATTAGATTACAACATTCTCTCGCTGTGGCAGGCGGATGGAAGGAAGGCAGGAAGGCGGGAAGGGGTGTGCACGGCTGCCACGGGTGTGCACGGGTGTGCAGTCTTAAGCTCATTTAGATATGTGTGTTTTATCTGGTACTTTGTCGAGCCATGAAATGGCCAATCAACCTCAACCCCAGACCGCACCCCAGCCCCAACCCCATAAACCTACGACTCCAACTCCAACTACACTTTGCTTTAGTTTTCCTTTCATTGCATTGTGGCAGTTGGACCGCAAAAGCCGCAAGATTCATTAGCCTCCAAAAAAGAAAAACAAACTCCTCTCGTAATCAGGTTCCTTGGGGAAAACTATTTACTACAACAATACATTGATTAGTTTTGTGGCATGGAGAACTGCAAACTCATTTCTCATTTATCCAGACAACATTTCTGTTTTGGTTGAGTGATCTTTTGTGATCCTCCCTGCCGTCCCTGAGGAGCGCTGCACTGCTTTTTTTACCCTCATCTACATGACCTTTTGAGTGTAACTCGATCTGTGTATTCTGTGGAAATGATGTCCCTGAGCGAGTTCAGGGGGGGTTTAACATTAAGTATAATATGAGCTTGATAGCGGAATTAAGGAGAAAACACTCGTAGATAAGCGGAGACGGAGATTAAAAGTCTTGAAGGGATTACTGAATTGATTTCAATGTTTAAAAATTTTAGGCTACAATCGGAGGATAGTTTTGCTTCTTAGTAAGATTGCCTGAAATATTTTGAGTTCTAATGGCAATGCAACCAAAGGTTTTTTCCCTGTAAATATACTCTGAAAGTGAATTTACTTTGCTGCTTCTTCCTACAGTAGATGGATGGAAACCATAGCCTTAGCCAGAGTTCTAATGATCGTTGATCAAATATACATTACATGCAATTGTAAAGAGTTCTAAGTTGCTTCTACTGCATTGAATCGTTCTTAGAATTTTACCACAAGTTCAATTTTCTGTGCAGATAAATTCATAACTCTTGGAATCCATAAAAGAATCCAACAAATTGGTTTCGCTTGAACTCTATTTCCTCCTAATCCAGCTGGAACCTATATAAATCCTTAATTGTGCCCCATCCTATGCCCAAACAAACAGATCTTACCCAGCCCAACCTTTGGAAATCTCTACTAATGCCCAAATTCCATCTACAAATGAACAGATCTTCCTCCCGCACACAGTCTTAGTGTGTCTGGGCGGTGTGGACGTGGCCTCCCACGAGAGATGGGAGTGCATCTCGCATCTCTATCTCTCTAATGAGAAAGAAAGGCAGCAGCAGCAACAGCAGAGGGAGGGAGGCGCAGAGTCGCATGAATAATGGGTCTATGAGGCAGAGTCGATGTCGCGTTCCGTCTATAAAATCGGCCTTAAAATCCATTAGCGAACGTTGCACAGGCATAAATAAACTAAACCGCAGTGCCTTAATTTCCTTCACTCTCTTGTTGGTTGTTGCAGCCCCAAAAATAGATGAAACACATAAATGGAAACAAATGACGCTAATAAATAAATGGAGGGGCAAGGCACTCTACTCTCGGAGTCGAAGTCGAATATGCATTTACAAAAGGATTTGCATTTTTGGGAGGAGGAAATAGTTTGTCATACGCGTAGTTTGCCCTTCAAAATGATGATGCTTGCAACTGTTGCAAGCACACAAAATATATATGCCACATCTGTTGACACTTACCCTTGAGCGCGGCAACTTGTGTTAATCCATTTAATCCAGAGAGTATCAGTAGCATCGGGAATACTAGGGGTATCACCAGCAGTGATGCCATCTTCTGGTCGACTCTGATTATTTTTAGCCGATTGGGCGACGTTGCGGCGACATTTTGATTGTTTCTATGTCTTCGCCGTTTGATCTCGCTGACGGTTGTTGTATTTTTAATTTCACTTTCCTCGGATAAATGCTGAGGCTGCAACTGTGGCATGCCACCACGCATTGCCCGCAAATGCATCTTGTCAAGTTTTTCTCTTCTACTTTTACTCTGCACTCCACGCGCTTCTTTAATTGCCCGAAATCTTTCTTGGCACACACTCCTAACAACCAACCGGCACTATCCTATCTGTCCATCCATTCAAAATAGAACTGCACTCATTTTTTTCGTTTTGTTTCGTTTTTGGTTTCTTGTTTTATTTTGTTGCTAATTCAAAATTTCTTTCTAAATTTCTCTTGTTTTGGCACACAATTTTTTGAATCGCTTCGAATCTCAATCCATGGCGGGGCTTCTGCCGTCTAACCGGAACGACAATGACGCGACAACCACGATACGATGAGACGAGAGACCTAAACACGCGTCCCACTCGAACGGGAGAACACGAACCGAGCTCTTCCAACACACAAAATCAACTGTCACGGCGCCCGGTTTCCAGCTGTCACACAGCAGCCAGACATATCCGAGCCGAACGAACGACTGCTGCCGAAGGCCGCTCGGGCCGCGCTCGTTCGGCTTGTGCGCTCGGGCTTGTGGCTCGCCTCGTCTTGTGGCAACAACCAGTAGAGCTTGTTGCATGCTGTGGACTCCATTTGGATTGTATTAACCTTTTGTTTACTTGCCTGCCTCTCGGTGGGGTTTGTTTTGTTCCATTTGCCAGTCGTTCGTATCGCTTCGTATACGATAGAACCTACTTATACCATATATGTGTGTGTGTGAGTAAGAGTATGTGTGCTCATGAAGTTGATGGAACTGAACGATGGAATGGAATTGAACTGAATGATGATGCATTTTGTTGATAAGAATGAACTGAAGAGGGTTTTATTTTGCTGTATATTGTTTCACAGAGTGCGTTCTTTGTGGCAAAAGGGGATTAAACATCACATATTTCGAACCTTCTTTTAATAAAAAGTTGCCTTGGATTGTGCCCGAAATATAGTTCTCTCTGAGGAATATTTGATGAAGGTTATATTTGTTTTCTTAAATGATAATTGTCTTATAATGTGTTGACTCTCTGGGAATTGTGGTTGGAAAATTGATCAAATATTGCATTGTTGAGCAGAAAAAGGGTAACTGCGCAGGAAGTGTGGTGTTAAAGTTATACAAATATTGCGATTATGCGAATTTTGATATGTTCGAAATGCATCGAATTAATTATCAATTTAATGGCTACAGCTTGAATAATTCTTCACAGAATTTAAAAACAGGTCTCAGCAGATGAGAGGTGGTGTAGAGATTTACCTAAAACAGGCATAATATATCCATAATTATTATGGATAATTTTTAATAATAAAAATAATTATTTTCAATAATGATTATCCTAAAAACTTAAAATTCAAATCTGGTCCATTTAATTCTTCTGTGCGGCTACATTAAATGGAGAGTTTTTTCAAGTAAAAAATAAAAAATAATCATTATTTACTGTCCCTGATGGAGAGCAAAAATATGTTCAAATGTTGCAAAATGCAAGAGTCAAGAAGAGCTGCAGTCCCACATGATCTTAGATATGTTGCAGGAGTTTTTTCCATCCTTTAATTATTGTTTTGAAGTTTTGCGACTGTAATCTGCTTTAGTCCACATCTGACAAGACCACCGCTGGCACTGTGATTCTAAAAGAGATGCAATTTCAGTGGGATAATGGAGGAAAAATAGGTAGCGTATTTCTAGAGTAAATCCCATTTAAGTCGTAGACTTCAAGCAGTCCGAAAACAATAGGTGGCTGGCTTCCTTGGCTGCTTACTGAAATGTTGGCAAACAATGAAAAATACTTTTGGTGCAGTGCTGAAGGTCGTGTCTTTTATAAATGGATTTTGTGATGACAAATATCAGTATTTCCAATCGATTTCTCATCCAAATTTACGTTTACATATGAAGCCCTCTAAGCGTAAAAAAATCACTGCAAGCTGTCTCCTGTTTTTGTATTATTTCAACTCTTTGAATGTTGTCAAGGCAAACAAATGGCCAACCTTTGTGCTCCTTAACTGTTGTAGTTCTCTCAGTCGGAATGCCAGAACATTTTCAGCTTTGGATAATCCATACTTGTTGCATTTGATTGCTCCCCCACCCTGGCACCATTGTTATGGATATTCTCGTACCCCTTTCTCCCTCTCTCTGACTCTGCCCGGCCAGACAAACTCCTCAAATGGGCGACCATTTGCTATCTAATCTGTACGAGTGCGCCACTCACTCTCCAGCTGTTAGCTCATCTATTTCCAAACTGCAATAAAGCCAGACAAAAAGTTTGGGACCCGACCAGCACACAGCACACAGCACTACACTCCGACGCATTTCACAACCAACCCACAAAGAATGGGTAAAAATGAATAGAAATCAAAGTGGCATAGAGCCCGTCGTTCTGGTGGACACTGTCCCTATCATTGGCCAGACGCCTTTTGGTCCGTTAGCGGCGCGCTAATGAATTTCCAAAAGAATCAATTGAATGACCAAACGTTACGATATTGTATTAATTTATCAAAGTGCATAGCATATCCGAGAGTGAGAAGGAATAAGCAAGGGGCTTTCGTATAAATCGCTGCCTAATTTCCCAACATTTGTTCCATAATCAATATAACTTTTTCCTCTCTCTCTCTCTCTCTGCTCTCTGCTCTCAGGTAGTTTTTCCCCTTGAATTCTCACTCATCTATGGCCCCGAGTGTGAAGTCTGTTCATTAATGCCCGGGCCCAGAGCTGTTCCCCCTTCGGTCATCAAAAGATACAGATAGATTTGCCGGGTCCTCGTCCACAGAAGTGTAAAATAGAGGTGTGTATCTATGCCATAGACAAGAATTGTGCGCGGCATTTGGGACGGGGCAGGTGTTGGTGTCGGTCTATCATTCTCTCGTTCTCCTTCTCCTTCTCTCCCTTTCCTTATTTTTTCAAACATTCAATGTGCATTGTCTTTGCCCGAAAGGTCAAAGTGCGTGTAGTGCAGCGCCCCCACCCATCCCCGCACCATTGTATCTTTTATCCTAAACTCTGGAAGAATTCAGGTAGAAAGGTAGAGAGTTTGTGGCAGGTAAACCATTTTTCAAATGCTGATAATTGGCCAATTTACAGCAAAGCGATGCTCTGCTTGAAAGGTGAGATATCTGTGCAGGGTATCCCTTCAAGGGCAAGAAGTTTGGCAACGCTGCGGCGGGTATAGGGTATATACAAAGTTCGGTGTGAAAATTTGGTTCTATACAATGAAAATGTGGATATGCGGGCCATGGAACCGTATCCAAATATTTCAACATTTTCTTGGCAATTTTAAATTTTAGTTTCTCGACCTCAGGCTACCCTTTGCTCAGTTTCTGCATATGCATTCCAGTAATCAGTTACCCAATCCACCTGTGAGCTTCCTGTACTAATTTCTACTCTGTTGAACTCCTGCTGAACTTTGGCAACGTTGCATGCAACATTATCTAGACAGAATGTTGTGTTGGCATTGCCCTTTGCGGTGTCTCTGTGCTCGTTCCATCGCTGTACCCAAAGTCAGTATCTGTCTGTCATGTCGTTTGGCTTAAGCCTTGTTAATGACATGTAAGTTGCGTCTCAATTGCGGATTTGCGGAGCTTCACTGCCAAATGAAATGACATTTTGATTGTCAAAATGGAGCCCCCAAAAGCGGATGGGGAAGCAGCCCAAAAAACTTATGGATAATGGATGCACTTTAATAAACTGATGGTTTAACTCATTCATTCATTCATTCATTCAGGAAGGAAGGAAGGAAGTAAGAGAATAATCTTTTTTATTTATTTTGTTGCCTGTTGATATAAAAAAAGCAAACAAATTACGTATACGTGCACACTCAAGATAATTGAAATTAGCGACTGTGACAGCATGATTACCTTCCCTAACATCTCCTGGGGACCCGCCCAGGCCACAAATCTCTGCAGACAACACAAGACACAGGGCAAAGAAGGAGAGATACGATATACAACACGCATGTGTGCCGGAGAAGACGTTGGACGCCCACTCGAAAGAGCCAAACCCCAATTGAGTGGGTTTTTTGGACAGGCCATGACTGTGGGTAACCCCAGACCCATCTTCTATCCACAGATTTTATCCCCATGCCGCTTGCCGTATGCCTTCTGCCTCTCATGCCCGTCACCTAACCCAACCCAACACAGAACGCATTGAGATTGTAAAGCAAAGCTGAGGAGGTTTGTTGTACAATTGCTGGGATTCGGTGGGGATTCGGTGGGGATTCGGCTGGGATTCGGTTGGGGGATATATATGATAATGAGCAGGAAATGAGTTGAGTGTGAAATTTATGGACAGGAGTGTTTGAGGCCTAGTCTTGCCTACCCCTTTCGATGAATCACTTCACTTTGAATAATGATTGTAATTAAAAATATCTTCCTGTGTTTTGATAATTTATGAAGCTTCCCAATTGAAAGATGTCAATGAATGTTAAATATTATACCTTTCAGAGTTGCATTTGCAGCCATTCCACACTTGCATTTCCCTCTGAAAACTATCTGCTGTTCTCTGCCCCCTGGAAATCATCCACACTTCTGTGCCCATAATTCCATTAACATTCCACAAATCCACACACTAATCCAGTCACCTAAAAATATGCACAGATGCACAGAGGCAGTGTCTTTGGCCGTGTAAAGCCACAAAATACTCCCCATAAAAATGTAATCCCATTACCATAAACGTAAATACAACAAATGAAATTAAAAGTCAATAAAAGTTTAACTAACTCGAACAATAATAAAAATCAATGAATCTGTTGTGTGTGTCTGTCTGCTCATAAATTATGTAAAAAACGCACACAAAAAAACCTCGCTAAAAATAATTGTAAAAATATACAAAATTTTAAGGGATATTCGATATGGACATGTGCATCGTAATTGCACGCGAATGTTAACACTTTGTCTGTACAATTACAAGTTAATTAAATATTCAAATTTTAATGCAAACAATGGGGAATAATCAATCAGGGTTACAGATTACTTGCTACTTAGTGTTGGCGGAATATACATAGTGCCGACTGTAGTAATGGTATTGGTATCTGCCTGTAACCTTGCACATCCTTGATCCTCTTTACGTATCCCCCAACAGGCAGTGCCTGAATCGAAAGTTCAATTCATACTTTAAACACCGATTTTATGAATAAATTACTAAAAATGCAATCTGCGAATATTTTAAAATAAACAAATTTAATAGTTATTTAATTTTTGGTCTGAGACTGTTCCACTGGCCGTTGATTTCGCTTTTAGTCATGCTTATTGTTGCCTTT